TACCATAGTTCCTAAATAAATTCCATTGTGGTTGGACACCTGGGCTGTTTCCATGTTCTTGTGATGGTGAATAGCACTGCTATGAACATTGGTGTACAAGTCTCAATTTGTGCCTCAGTTTTTATTCTTTCTGGGTTATTTCAAGTAGTGGGATAGCCAGGTCATATGGAATTTCAATGTTCAGCTTTCTGAGAAAACACCAGACTGCCTTCCAGATTGTTTGTACCATTTTACAATCCCACCAACAATGTCAAAGAGTTCTTTTCTCTCTATGTCCTCTCCAACATTTATTACTTGCTTTTCTGTTAAACTTTGTCACTGCTATTGGAGTGAGATGGTATTTCATTGTGATTTTTCTTTTCAGCTCTCTTATTGCCAGTGATTTTGAGCATTTCTTCTGTCTGTTGGCCATCTAAATATCTTCCTCTGTAAAACTTCTTTCTATGTCTTTTGCCCATTTAATAATTTTGTTATCAATCTTATTCTTGTGGTGGCCCTGTAGGATTCTTTAAACTTTATGAGACCCTTGTCTGAGATGGTATTGCCAATTCCCCCCCCTCCCCCCGAGTCAGTAAGTTTTCTTTTCACTCTGTTGGAAAAAGTGATGTGCACAGGGATTTGATCTTTAGAAGGTCCTATTCATCAATTTTACCCTCTCCAAATTGTGCATTTATGGCTTTATTTGGCAGTTTCTTTATACCATAGACTAGGCCATCTAACCTTGATTCCAGTTTGTCTCTGATGAGCTTTATAGTTTGGATATTTACTTCCAGGTCTCTGATCCACCTTGAGTTGACTTTTGTGTATGGTGTGAGATGTGAATCCTGTTTCAGTTTTCTGCAGTTAGCAGTCCAGTTTTGCCAGCACCATTTGTTGAAGAGGTTGTCATTTCCCACTTGATAGGTTTTATTTCCTTGTCAATTATCAGTTGACCGTTGATGTTGTTGTTATGTGCCATCGAATTGCTTGTGACTCATAGTGACCCTATGTACAACAGCCCTATATCCTGCTCTATCCTGTGCCAATCTTATTGTCTCTGACACACCTACCCACATTACCCCAGTCACTGAATCAATCCATCTCATTGAGGATCTTCCTCTCTTGTGCTGTCCCAAGCATGATGTCCCTCTCCAAGGACTGGTCCCTCTTTGCAGAATGTCCCAAGTATGTCAGATGAAGTTTCATAATCCTTGCTTCCAAGGAGCAGCTTGGTTTCACTCTCTCTCGGATGAACCTGTTTGTTCTCCTAGCCTTCCATTGTATATTCAGTACTCTTCTCCAGAACCACAGCTTAGAGGCATCAATTCTCCTTCTATCATCCTTAGTCAATGTCCAGTTTTCTGACACAAAGCAAGTAATTGCAAAGACCATGGCTTGAATCAGGCACACCTTAGTCTCCAGACTGACATCATTGCTTTTCAATATTTTGGAGAGGTCTCCAACAGCAGACTTTCCCAATGCAATTCGTCCTTTGATTTCCTGGGTGCTGGTACAAGAGTGTTGATTGTAGAGCCAAGCAAACTGAAGCTGTTAACAATGTCAATCTCTTCATTGTCTGTCATGATGCTGCCCCGTCCAGTGGTGAGAATTTTTGTTTTCTTGATGTTAAACTTCAATCCATATTTAAGACTGCAGTCCTTGATCATAGATAGCTGGATCTATTTCTGGGTTCTCAATTCTAGTCCATTGGTCTATGTGCCTTTCATTGTACCAATACCATGCTATTTTGGTTACTACCACTGTGTAGTGGGTTTTGAGGTCAAGGAGTACAATGCCTCCCACTTCATTTTTGTTTTTCAGTCTCTTTCCAAATAAACTTAACAATTGCCCTTTCAATCTTCTTAAAAATTAATTGCACTGAACATGTAGATCGCTTTTGGTAGGATCGTCATTTTCACAATATTGAGTCTTCCTATCCATGGATGGGGTGCATTTTCCCATTTCTTTAGATCTTTTATTGTGTCTCAAGAAGAGTTCTGTAGCTTTCTTTGTAGAGGTCTTTTCTATATCTAGTTAGGTTCACTCCCAAGTATCTCAATTTGTTGTTGGCTATTGTAAATGGTATTGCTTTATAGATTCCATCTCTGAGATTTTTTGTTACTGTGCAGGAATCCCACTGATTTTCAGATATTTATCTTATATTCTGCTGCTCTACTAAATTTGTCTACTAGCTCTATCAGTTTATTGTTTGGTTTTTGTTTATTTGTTTGTTTTTTTGAGTCTTTGGTGTTTTCTGAGTACACTATCATATCATCTGCATATAGTGATAGTTTAACCATCTATTTGCCCATTTGGATGCCTTTTATTTTCTTTACTTGTTGTATTGTCCTACCAAGCACCTCCAGAACAATATTGAATAGAAATTTTGACAGTAGGCATCTTTGTCTGGTTCCTGTTTGCATGGAAAATGCTTTTAGTCTTTCTCCATTGAGAATGATATTGCCTCTTGGGTTTGCATATGTACTTTTCACTATGTTAAGGAAATCCCCTTCTATTCCAATTTTGCTTACTGTCTTTAACAGAAAAGGGTGTTGGACTTTGTCAAATGCCTTTTCTACATCAATTGCTAATATCATATGGTTCTTGTTATTTGGTTTGTTAATATGGTGAATTATCTTGATTGTTCTTCTTATGTTGAACCATCCTTGCATACCTGTTATGAATCCTATGTGGTCATGATGAATTATTTTTTTATGTGCTTTTGGATTCTGTTGGCTAAGATTTTGTTAAGGATTTTTGCATCCATATTGATGAGAGATATTGGTCTGTAGTTTTCTCTCTTGGTAATGTCTTTGCCTGATTTTGATATTAGGGTTATGCTTGCTTCATAGAATGTCTCTGGGAGTGTTCCTTCTTTTTCTATAGTTTTAAATAAGTAGAATTGGTGATATGTCTTCTCTAAATGTTTGGTAGACTTAATCTGTGAAGCCATCTGGTCCAGGACTTTTCTTATGGGGTAGTCTTCTTATGACCTGTTCAATTTCTTCTTTTGTGATGAGTCTATTCAAAGGCATGAGTCTGGGTAGGGCATGAGTTTCAAGGAATTCGTCCATTTTTTATCAGAGTATAGCTTTTCATAGTATTCTAATATTATAGATTTAATTTCCTCTGGATCTGTTATGATTTCAACTCTATCATTTGTTAATTTAGTTATCTGAGTCTCCTCTCTTTTTGTTTTTTTTTTGTTAAGTTTGACAATGGTTTGTCAATTTTTATTTACCTTTTTGAAAATAAACTCCTGGTCTTATTGATGTTTTCAATTATTTTTCTGTTTTCTTTTTCATTGATTTCAGCTCTTGTCCTTGTAATTTCTTTTCTTCTAGAGGTTGTAGTTTAGATTGTTGTACCTCTTCTATTTGATGAAGGTGTTGAGTTACACCATTGATTTTCCTTCTTTCTTCCATTTTAACATGTGTGTCTATGACTATGAACTGCCCGTTTAGGATTGCCTTAGCTGTATCCCTGAGGTTTTGGTGTGTTGTCTTTTCTTATGTTTCAAGGAAGTTTTTTATTTAATTCTTTATTTCTTTTATAACCCAATCATGTTTTAGCAAAGAGCTATTCAGTTTTCACATGGGTGGTATTGTATGCTTTGTCTTCCTGTGGTTAATCTATAGTTTTATAGCATTGTGGTCTGAGAAGATATTTTGTATTATTTCATTGTTTTTTAATTTGTTGCAGTTTGCTTTGTGTCCTAATATATGGTCGATTCTGGAGAATGTATCATGTACACTTGAGAAGAAGGTGAATTGAGTTTTAGTTGGATGCAGTACCTTGAATGCATCCACAAAGTCACGCTGATTTATTATGTAGTATAGATCTTCTGCATCTTTGTTGAGTTTCTTTTCGGTTGACTTATATTTTGGTGAGAGTGGTGTGTGAAGTCTCCTGCCACTATTGTGGTGTTGCCTATTTCTTTCTTCAATTCTGTAAACTGTTGTCTTATGTGTTTTATAGGTCTATAATTTAGTGCATAAATGTTGACCAAAGTTATGTCTTCTTGATCTATTTTGCCTTTGATAAGTAATTTTCATTCTGAAGTCAATTTTATCAGAGATTAGTATTGCCTCTCCTGCTTTTTGAGGTTGCTATTTGCATGGTATATTTTTTTCTAGCCTTTAATTTTGAGTCTGATTTTCTCTTCTTTTTTTGGATGTGTCTCTTGTATGCAGCATATTGATGGGCTTTTTTTAAATCCATCTGCTACTTTTTCTCTTAATTGGCACATTTAGACCATTCGCATTTAGTGTGATTATTGTCAGGCCAGGTTTTACTGTTGCCATTTTGTTGTGTTTCTTTTTCTGTTGTTTCTGGTTACTGTGGTCCATCCACTTTGCTTTGATGTTTCCATATGAAGGACTTCACTTAAATTTTTTTGTAGTTTTGGTCTTGTTTTCACTAACTCCCTAAGTTCCTTGTTTTCTGTAGAGGATCTAAGTTCTCTTTCATATTTGATGGAGAGCTTTGTTAGGTATAGGATCCTTGGCTGGCAATTGTTTTCTTTCAAATTTCTTTATATGCCACCCCATTGTCTTCTTCCTCTCATAGTTTCTGCTAAGAAATCAGAACTTGATCTATTTATTTCCCTTTGTAGGTGACTCTTTGTTTTTCTTGTGCTGCTGTTAGAATTTTATTCTTATTTCTTAATTTGGAGAATTTGACTATGTCTTGATGTTTTTCTTTTTTGGGTCTAGACTATTTAGTGTTCACTGTGTTTCATGAATGTGGATTTCCCCATTCTTCAAAATGCTTGGGAAGTTTTCTTCTAGTACTTACCCCACAATTTTCTCAGTGATTTTCCTGTCACTCTCATGTTGTAGAATTCCAATCATAAATATATTGTTCCTATTGATCTCATCTCACATGATTCTAATGTTTTCTTCATTTTCTTTACATCTCATCTGACTTTTATTCTAGTATGTTTCCAGGGAAGCTCTTGTCTTTCAACTCACTGATACTCTGTTCTGTGTCTTTAGCTTTGTTGTTTTGTTTTGTCCTACCTGCATGTTGGACACTTGTGCCATTTCGGTCTCAATGTTCTGAATTGCATTTTCATGCTTTTCTGTACTCACTATGTTGTGTGATGATTTTTTTAAAGTTCTTGGACTTCTTTATCTATACTATCAATATTTTCTTCCATCTTTCGCATTTTCTTCCATGGCTGTTGAAGTTGTTCCTCACCGATATTTTTCTTCTGGATTGTTGTCTTTGGGGTATTTGCTCTCTTAATAGCTTCCATTGCTCCTTCCATCTCTAGCATCTTCTTCTGTAGCTGTTCAAGTAATTCTGCATCAACATATTTCTTCTGGTTCTTTCTATCTGGGGTATTCATTTAGGCCTTCTTTTTTTTAGGAGAAGGGTTTGTTGTTGTTGTTGTTGTTTTCCATGATGGCTGAGGCTGACTGCTGCTTTCTTAACATTATGTGAGTCTTTTCTTAGTATATGTTGGGTTGTTGTAACTATATAGTGGCCCACAGTATGGCAATATTTTGTGAAGGACCTGTGTATATGTGCTCCTTTCTCAGCCTGAGTCTGCTTGAGCTTAAGGGATCCCATGAAGTGTAGTTAGCCAACAGTGTTTCCCGCAAAGTATCTGAGTGGCAAACTAGGAAGCCTGTTATTCCCTTCTGGAAATGGCTTCTCTACTATACTAAGTTGTTCTGGCCCATTCTGCTTGAACTTAAGGGGTCTTGCATAGTGTAGCTAGATGGCAGTGTTTCCCGCAAATTACCTGTGATATTGGTGCTCCTGGCATTGCACATTGGGGGTGGTAGCTGGGAGGTGAAACTGCAGCCCGTCAACCTAGCAAGCAGTGCTTCTGTCCCTGGTCAGGGCGGGAGTGCATCCAGGTTGGGTCACAGCCTTTAGCAGACACTGTGGAAGCAGTGTCTGAAAGACTCTGCTGAGCCAGCCACACTGCATAGGTCTTGCCATCTTGCAGCAGAGTGATGGTAATGTCCCTGAAAAGCTGCATCTTGTGAGAAGAGCCATGTCTTATGAGAAGCATAGATACTGGAACTCTTGAATTTCTCTTTAGGTGCTCTTGGTTAGTGCCCTTGGTTAATGCACTTGGATGGAAACAGAAAGGTTGAAGGTTTAAGTCTACCTTGTGGTACCTCAGAAAAAAAGCCTGGCAACCTACTTCTAAATAACCAATTATTGAAAATCCCATGGATCACAGTTATACTAACAGCACAGATGAGATTCCCCTGGCTCTCAGCAAACTAACTGGAGATTGTAGGGTTTTTTTTTTAAATTTTTAAACATTCTTATTGTTGTTATTGAGGTTTTTTGCAAGTAATGCCTTCTGTCAATGTGTCTAGATACTTAGCACCTTTTCCTTCAGACTTGGAGGACTGAACTTTCACAAGACTTTAAGAGTCTGAATCAAAGATAGTTTTTGGGCGCTCTTACCCAGGAGCCTCAGTTTTCATAAAAATTCTTCACTAAGATGAATTTGTTTGAGAATACCCTTTGATTCTCTTTTCTCCTTTCATAATTACTCTTTCCTCACTTGTTAAGAAAATACATTTCAACCATTTAATATCTTGCTTCATACACTTGCTTTGAAGATGGGTAAAACTGTTGAACATTACATTAATGACTATTCAAAAGGTTGATGTTGAGGTTACAGAGAGTGACTCCTGACTGCCAATTATTTTATTATAGTTCTTTGACAGGTCAGGTGGTTTCCAGATTTTGCTTTCAACAAGATTGAAGAAAGATCTACTCAAATTGTCAGTTTATTAAGATGCATTTATTAAAAATAAACTTGGATGGTAAATCACTACATGATTTTGACTTATAATTCAGAGTTCAAAAATTTGAGTGGCACTGATGAAACGAAACACCTTCTTTCCATCTACTTAAAGTTTTCTTAGTATATGTTTCATATAAAGCAAAAAATATGAGTAAACTTGATGCTGAAGTCTATCTTATTCTCTCTCTGTGTTTATTACCATCAAGTTAGAACAAATTCACAGCTAACCCTGCAGAAGGTTTTCAGTGACTGTAAATAGCACTGGAGGAGATTGCCCATTTTCCTCCTATGGAATAACTGGTGGGTTTGAACCACAAACCTTTGAGTTTGCAACACAGCTTCTTACTCACTTTTTTATTGTTGGTATGTACAATTGATTCATAAACAACTTATAGCTGACCCTCTAGTAAGTTTTCAGAGACAATATATCACATGGGAGGAGATTGCCTATCTTTCTCCCAGAGCAGCAGATAAGCGGATGGATTCCAGCTGCTTGCCTTTGGGTTGGCAAAGCAAGTCCTTACCATTAGACCACCAGAGCTTCCTAACCATTAATTCTTCCCCTAAGAATGCTCTTATTCTAGTAATAAATAATATTCATCTGTAAATACATCAACTAACTGGGGAGAAAACCTTACCCATCAAATTTATAGAAGCATTTCCCAAGTAATCATACTTGCTATGTTTAAATAAGGTTTATTTTTTTTTAAAGTACAAGCATTCTTTTTAAAACTTATTATTTTTTGTCAACTTTGTGCTAATAATCTTAATGCCAGTCTAATTATGAAGAAATTACAGCACCTAAAGGCCACAGAAAAATAAAAATGATATATACATGCATTTATTTTGCAGAGAAATATGATTAAAAGACTTTCTTTTTTTTCCCTATATTTTATTAATTTTCATAAACATTTACAGAGATTTTGGGTTTCCATTCATTCATTGTTGCACTATTCTCTCTACCCT